TCGATCAATCCAAGCATGTCTCAGATACGGATCCAGAACTGAATTTTTTAAAACAAAATGGCCGCCAGTCGGCCATTTCGAACCCGATCCCCCGAAAAAAATGACGTGCAGCAAGGTCCTATTATGTTTAATGTATGTACCAAATTTGAATGAAATCCGTCCATGCATAACTGAGATCCGGGTCCGGAATGGTGAAAATGTGCGATTTCAATGCATTTTCGGCCTTAAAGCGGCCGCCATTTGGCTATCGTTAATGAGATCATGAAACAAATGCACATGCATATTTGTGACATGATGTACCTTGTGTGTGTGAAGTTTGAACTCGATCAATCCAAGCATGTCTCAGATACGGATCCAGAACTGAATTCTTTAAAACAAAATGGCTGCCAGTCGGCCATTTCGAACCCGATCCAAAAAAAAAAATGACGTGCATCAAGGTCCTATTATGTTTAATGTATGTACCAAATTTGAACAAAATCCTTCCATGCATAACTGAGATCCGGAATGGTGAAAATGTGCGATTTTGATGCATTTTCGGCCTTAAAATGGCCGCTTTTCGACTATCGTTAATCGGATCATGAGAAAAATGCATGTGCATATGTCCCATATAATGTGTGATGTATGAGTGAAGTTTGAACTTAATTGGTCCATGCATGTTCGAGATACAGGTGATCACGGACGCACACAGGGCAAAACATAAGTCCCCGTTTTCGGACTGCGTCCGAACGGGGACTAACTAGTATATTAAATTAGAAAAATTATCAATTATTCAAAAATTACTAGTAGATGTACTGCACTTTTACATTGACCAGATGAAGGATTATGGGAGTGTGTACAAAAATCATGACAAGACAATATTGACACGTATGTTACATTGGTTTATTTTTCTACAAACTCCAATGTACCACAAGTGATAAATACAGGGAAGGCTATTCTTTAACTGCGTATTTTCTCATTGGGTACAATCTCTCTCGTCTCTGCAATTTCTTTGTTTTCCTTTTCAATTCATTCGGCTTCAAAGCTCTTCTCATGGCACGCGTCTTCTTCGGTCTCAAATCAAGTGGCTTGTATTTTTTTCCTTTGTAGAACTTTCTCAGATTTTCTTTCTGTGTTTGGTTAATTACGGTAAGGATTCTTGCAATACCTTTACGTACTACACGGCTGTAGGTAAAAGAAAACACTTTAAAAGACTATCAAATGAAACGGGGAACCTCTTAGTAACAAGCCACTCAAAATGTCTTGTACTTGATTTTCATTGGTAAAATGTAAAACAAAATGGTTGCCAATTGACCATCTTGAATTGTATTACGAAAAAATAATTATCTGTGAACCAAGTTTGGAGTTAATTAGGCAATGTGAATTTAAGATATTGTGCAAAAAAAAATGACAAAAGCTCTCAACAAAAATGTACTTATGTGCCATAGTATTCTAAGTTTGAATAGAATCGGCAGCACAACTTCAAAACTGAAGTAAATGATTTTTCATTGATCTACACTAACGCTTGGTAACAATGCCAGCTGTGCGATGCATTGGGCAATTACATCAAAATTAGCGACAAGATATTTGTTTAAACATTGCAGGAAAAATCATGCCCTCTGCGTTGCCACTTTAGTTACCTCAATCGAAATCACCTCTGTCACCCATCATGCCCTCTGCGTTGTATTGCTAACAAAGGCAGATTACCATCCATTCAACCGAAGCATTTTAAATTTTAGCATTAAATTTTATGCGTCAAAGACAGACGACAAGTGTCACAAGCCTAGTGTCATGGGTTGTTGTAATATATTATTATTCTTAATCCAATTCTATGTAAGGATTGTGGACAGGTATTTTGAGTCCATTGTATCATCCATTATACTAATATGGAGTTCATTAATATTTATGAGTATTTAATTAGATCATCATGTGGAATTTAACCTCCGTGCAAAACAACTTTCCGCGAAAACAACAAAGATAAAATCCATGCAATAATAAGGCATTTCATAAGAAAAACGATCCAAAAAGTAAAACCAAATTATCGAGTATGAGTCCTTATTATTTGCGCATGCACGTACACAAGGACAGAGGTTTGTCTTTGACAGTGCAAATACATTACAACAAATAGGGTCAATCTGGTAATATAGTCACTTACATTTTTGATAATTTGGACGCTGCACCACCAGTAACTTTGGTAACACGTAGTGATCCCAACTCTCCTTTCAGTTTATTCAGCTGTTCAATCAGGTCTTCCTTGCGTTTGCCTCGCAGCTCTTGTGCCTTGATCTTAGTCTAAAGATACAATCCACAGGTGAAATTATTGGTTGTTTTTAAGTGCATTCACAAAATTCTTGACTTTTTGAACACCCCCCCCCCCCCAAATTTTTCAAGTCTGGATCTTGCTTTATAACAATATTGTTGAGAGCAGCAGGGATTAAGTTGTTTCAAAATTGGTTTAGAACATTTAAATGTCTAAAATGGTGGCTAATGTCATGTGATAATTATTTGTCATATTTTGGGTGTAAAATAGTAAAAGCAACACAAAACACTTGGACCTTGTCTGAAATAATTGAATAAAATTGGGATATTTAAAAAAAAACACTTGCCAATTGCTGATGTCCAGTGAGCATCTGAATCACTGAAGCAGTATGACAAACAGGAGACTAGAAATCAAATCTATATAAAACTAGGCACTCTGATTTTACACAAATGTGGTTAGCATGCCCTTCTTTTCCATTAACAGTAGTTTCTGCTCAGAATTGGTTTGAAATAGAGAATTCTGGCGTCTCCATAGGAACGCTGCCATTTTATTTAATAAGTGCAGTTTCTAGCGCTATAGAGTTCTAGGGGTAGAAATTAGGGTAATGGTCTGAATAGTGCAAATGTTTTGGTAGCCCAGGGTCACGTCTTCGGTTCGAAGCATGTTTTGACAATTTTAACTTTGATGTGTGACCTATGCACACCGATTTACTTAATTTAATATAATTTGTTCATTCAATCTGTTGTGCATTTCTAAATGCGGTGACTATTTTAGGTAGGTATTTTTGGCACACAGCAACTGATTGCTTGGAGGCACATCAAAGTAACAGGCACTTTCAATTGTAGCCGTGGATTCCCATTCAAGGTAAGCAGTGAAATATTCGAAAAGATGGCATATTACCCAACGACATAAATCCTAACAACGGTATCACTGTAGGCACCAAGAAGAATTAGGGAGATTGAGAACAGACACCCAAATTCAAAGAGTGAAACGCACACCCCATTCAATATGCAGCAATAATAAAAGATTATCATGGAAAGTCCCAATGACCATTCATTTCTGTTCGTTAATGAGTTAACTGTGATAGTGAAATTTTCGAATGTAAAAACGCTAGTGAATAATTGAGGTAGTCGATGTTATTCCATCTCCGAGTTCCAAAGCACTTTAAAACTATAGGCAGTGGCACCTATTTTGTTTTCTTTTTTTTTACTGGAGATACTACTTAAATTTCGAAAATATTATTACAAATATGGTAAATGATTTGTAATCTTTCCATTTGACTGGAAATATAAGGTGTATGTTTGAAGTAAAAGCAGGATGAAGGCTGATTTCCAGCATGAACTACTTCCAACTCACCATCTTGTCTGATGTCAAAGCCGGAAAGGACGACCTTTACCCTGTCCCCTAATAAAGAAAACAACATAATGTTCACATCAATCACACAATGTTATTAATGTAATTTCTTTCATAATATAAACAAAAATACTTCCGCATAATTTCAAGAAGATGACAATTTTCTGTATTTGACTGATTATTAAAAAAATAATAGTTGTGTTAAAATGTAGAAAGAAAATAGACTGCCGAGGAACGAGGTAAACCGATAACGAGGCTGGAAGCCATTTTGGAAGGTGGTGGCAATACAGGAAGTAAAATATTCTGACTTGTTCGTCTGTCCTGTTTTCCCGAAGAGTCACAAAACATGGCAAAGAATACTGGAAGTTCGAAATTTCGGAAAGTAGATGTTGATGAATACGACGAAAACAAATACGAAGATGATCAAACTGGCGAAGTTGCTGGTGGGCCCGACGAAGGAGAAGTCATGAGTTATCTCAACCAATATCCTTTTTTAGTTGAAACATTACCTCGTAACTTCCGCATTTCTAAATTTCAGATTTACTTCTGATATCAAACGTTCCTTTGAATTATTTCACTTCATATAGTGTTGATCTTCTGAATTGTTAATTTTTTTATGATGGGTGTGAAACCGGATAAACTTATTTGTTCATGTACCTTATTATTTGGTGCTTACATTTTTTGCCTCCATCACAGTCACAGTCTATCCGCACTTTTCCTTCATGCACACACTGTTACTAAAAAACTTTAGTATTATAGTAACCGTGATGCACACAAGTGCGACAAGAAAAAACGTGAATAATTACAATGCTGTGACCATGGAGCTGACCATCAAAACAAAAACAAAGATTGTTAGTGTTCAGACATCGATGGACGTTGCCAAGAAATAGTTTGCATCAAAGTTGATCTAGTCTAGATTTCTGACGACTCTTGAGGATAAATATTTTAGGTCTCAGAGGTATCAAACAAACTTCACTTACTCTCCAGTGAATCGTTTAAGTTACATTGCAGAGCAGGGTACATTTCAATGCATTCACTATGCAAAATTTAAACGAATGATTGAATTTTAATCATTTTGTGCATATGTGCTCTTCAAATTCAATGTTAGTGAAATTAAACTTGATCATAGTCACCCAATTTTATGTTGATTATACATTGTTAAAATCACCTTTTATATTGTGAACCTCAGGTAGGATGTGTGGCAATCAATTGGTGCTATCCACATTGAAATCCAAAGCTGACAGCTAATGCACAAGCTAGTTTGCCAACTTGTTGTCTCAATACTTCTGAGACTTGCAGCTGCTGTGTCACATTGTATTCTGTATAGGTCCAATGTGATGCCACAACTTGATCTTTTTACAATATTTCAAATATTGCCTCCTTAACTGATGTTTTTACAGGGAAAAATAGTGACGCATTGCATGCTGTATTAAGAGATGCACCAATCGGATCAAAAAATCAAGCCGTTAAGGTGGGAGATCAGATGCAATTCTATTGTATCAAATTTTTTATTGAATTTGAATTGAACTTTTCGATAAAAGGTATGCAACTCTGATAACGATAGTGAATTTGGAGTTGTAGTTTTCATGGATTCATTTTTAGGTTCATAAGTAGAGTAACACTATATACATTCATGACCAGTCGACAAGGTCATAATGAATTAGGGGCATTTCGCCCAATTACCACTTCGCCCGAACGGTTTCGCCAGATTACCTGTTCGCCCGATTGTCATTTCGCCCGGTTGCCATTTCGCCCGATTACCAGTTCGCCTGATTCCTCGTATGTTTGGTATTTACGTAAAGTCAAAACAAGATAACGTAGAAGTCGAACTTTGTTTTTATAAGGTGACGAACGTGAAGTTTACAACAGGGTTGTGACGTAATTTTATGCTGTTGCGGCCATCTTGTGTGGGTCATACCATTTGTGTATCGGGAGGAAACAATGAGTTGAGGGACACTCACACTTTTGCGAAGTCCAACCATTGACGGAACCTTTGTATGCCCTCTGGTGTTTGGAACTTGGAACACTACGTTTACCTAAAGCCAACCTCGGCGTTTATCAACTTGACTAATAAAACTCGCGAATCACCGTCGACGTTTTAATCAAATACTGTTACAATAGTTTCATTGTCGTGTACGGAAGAAATAATTTTAATTCACGCATTTTATACCAGTGTAATAATTGCATCAGTTAACGGCTAACGACTAAATAAATAGGGGAACATGTAAAAAAATGTTAATGTACTATGCTAAATTTTGGGCATATTTCAAAGTAATCATGGTGTAATTGCGTCGATTAACGACTTGTATAACAGGGAAATAGTGTAAATGTACCACACAGTCAGTTGTAAAAGTAAATGTGGAAATAATGTGCTAAGTTGCAAGGTTTTTTCTCTAAAAAAAACCAGGTCGCAATGACAATGAATGTACTATTGATATTCGTTGTGCCACAAGTGTGTTTATGCTCTGTTATAAGCTCACTTTCAATTATAAAACCCGTTTTATTACTCAGATAAAATAACTTGGGTTTTCATTCGTACAGTCGATGGCCTCGTAGTCATAATTCAAAGTACAAAATGTTGCATATTATTGAATATTGGTAATTCCCAGTTACATTTAACATTAACCATTTCTCTGACTGTAAAAAAAGAGGAAATAATATATTATTGGTACTATATAAATTGTATTTAAACTTTAAAATACGGTAA